ATAAGCATGTTGGGAATACAAATGTATTATAAACATACTACTTGAATTTCAAGTATATTTTTAATACATTTAATACTACGTCTTTTTCACCTGGGAAGAAAGGCAGAAAAAATAGTCAAGCACTTTATAGTGTTTTTTCCAGATGCCCAATTACAGTCAAAAAGTACCTAAACAATGCCAGCAAGAATGCAAGCTGTTATGAAAGGCATAGGAGGCCATTTTTGTTATTATGTGAATAAATACTATTTATTTGTTTCAGTTTGTTATTTGCCCAATAAATGACATTAACATTTTTAGATTTAAATTTTTTTTTTGACAGATTACTAAAATATTTGTGTTTTCTCTTTATTATGACAGGTGGTCTAATAAATTAAGCAATTGTTTTCATAGCATTCAGTTGGCACGTTTGTTTGAAGGACATTGGACAGAATGTGGAATAGTGTGTTTTTTTGTCAATAAAACAAAAAAAAAAGGAAATTGGGCTTTTTTATTTGATTAATCGATTTATTCAAATTCTTCTCATCCGTGTCAGTCTCCAACGCCATTCACGAGAGTACCACGACGCATGCGTGTGCATTCCTTGAAAACAAGCCGCAGCACATGCGGGTTCTAAATCAGATCACCTGCTCCTGCGTCAGCAGGATTACACGCATGCGTCGTGGTACTCTCGTGAATGGTGGCGGAGACTGATGTGCAACAAAAGAATTGTTGAATAAAGTTATTTTTGTAGCTCGTAGCTTCATAAAATTACAGTTAAACCACTGATGTCACATGTACTATGTTAACGATGTCCTTACTACGTACTGGGCCTTGAACATGGTAGTTCCGTTGCTGTCTATGCAGGGTCAGAAAGCTCTCGGGTTTCATCAAAAATATCTTAATTTCTGTTCCGAAGATGAACAAAGGTCTTACAGGTTTGGAACGACATGAGGGTGAGTAATTAATGATATTCATTTTGGGGTGAACTACCCCTTTAACAGCAATTGGAAACAGACCCTATGTGTTTTGATTGGGCACCTGTGTGTGTGTTCATGTCTACAAACTTCTGAAACAGCCCTCTGTATTCTGTCATCTCTGTGGAGATGTGACATTTCTCCCGCCCACCTTTTTGTGTTTGTGTGCGTCCTGAGCCATCTGCCTTCTCTTTCTGGATCACGCTCCCTTCTCAGTCTTCCATTCCACCCCCTGCTTTTCTGTCCCATCACACCGGTATCAGTATCATATGACATTGGGAGTGAGGAGACCCAAGCTAGGAGCGGTGACTCATTCACAACAACAGAAACACAGGTCATAGCCCCACATTTTCAAAACTTTTTAATGTAATTTTTCCCCCCTTTTTTTCCCTTTTTCTTAGACCTTGTTTTGTTTTGTTGTGTGTTGTTGTTGTTTTTTTTTATACTTCTAACTGTAATTAATTCCACACTGTTTATGCTATGAACATGATTGATACCTCAAATTGTGCAGCTTGTTAAGGAGTGTTGTTACTCTTCTAAGTGTCTAAGTGCCCATAACAAAAGCTTGTTATGGGCAACTATCCGGAACACCATAGTAACCTGCATAACAACACATTTAAGATGAAAATGCATGAATTAAAATATATTTCCTTATGACTGGCTATCACAATGTTAGTTATATTTGTAATCAAGCTAAACCATAGAAGTCTCCATTCCATAACTGCTAACAAATAGAAAGGCTCAAGTGTCTAACAGTTCTACAGTAAATGTTCTGCAGCCAAAATCTGCAGCTTATTATTTGCTAGAAAGCTTTTCCCTGCTGTGAACTTTGAATAGTTCCATTTAGACCCTTTGGTCTGTACTTTCCAGAGTAATGGATTACACACATTCAAGACAGCTTTGAAAGTTAGCAAGCCCAAACCAATGCAAGTGCGTGTGTGGATGCACATGTTTGAGACAGATATAAATAGCGCGCCATAAATCTGACTCCCTGTGGAGAAGTTATTCCATAAATTCTGAAGCCGATCTGAGAAAAGTCATTCAGTGATGGGGAAATTAATTTTATTTAAAACTCTCATCTAGCTGATGGCCAGTAAGTCCGTGGAAAATTAAGAGAAATATTCTATTACAGTGGAAGGCTGTGATGCCTCCTGAGCTAGAGTTGGTTGTTGTTGCTGTATCCCAGCAGGTTTATTCTTTTTGGTCACCAGGGGTCGAATTCACAAAAAATTCTTAAGAATAAAATTATTCTTAACTGCTATTTTCTTCTTATTTTTGAACTTACGAATAAGGTTAAGAATATTTTGTATTTGCATGCATTTTCTAAGAATGTTCCTATATTTTTTCTTAAGATTCATCTGAAGACAAAACTTCATTTGTATTTTTCAAGAATTGCTCTTAGGAACGTTTTTATCAACTTCTTAGAATTTATTTAAAAGAAATAGCTCACCCAAAAATGAAAATTTGCTGTAAATGTACTCGCCCTCAGGCCATCTAAGATGTAGATGAGTTTGTTTTTTTAATTGGAACATATTTGGAGAAATTTAGCATTACATCACTTGCTCCTAATGGATCCTCTGCAGTGAATGGGTGCCGTCGGAATGAGAGTTCAAACAGATACAAATATTACACTAATCCACAAGTAATCCACTTGACTCCAGTCCATCAATTAATGTCTTGTGAAATAAAAAGCTGTGTTTGTAACAAGTCCATCATCAGGTCATTATAACTATAAACCATTGCTTCTGGCCTAAACATAAGTCCATAATCAATTGAAAAAAAGCAAAAAATAAATTTGTATTAATTCGAAATCACAGATTTTTCCTTGTCCACCAATAACATGTAACCTCTCTTAGATATGAACTTTGATGTTTGGGTCATTCAGTTGCCCTCACACCAACATGTTTTCACTGTTTCACTGTCTGTAATCCTCTCCCTATTATACCCAGCAGTCCGATGTATTTTCCAATCACGTACTGGCACATTGGAGGGCCGTGTAGGGCTGTGGTGCCGGAAGGTTGACATTAATAATGTGATTTTGCTTTGCCCTCTCTTATCCAGAGGTGGCAGAGAAAAGAATAGGCCTCCTCCTGCTGCTGAGAGAGAGGCAATCAGCATTTAATCTGCAAGACTGATTAACTTCTCATTACAATCAGACACACACACACACACACACACACACACACACACCATGCAGGCACTCAGACACACAAGTTTATGTACAAATGTACGGGTCTCATTACAATCAGACACACACACACACACACACACACACACACCATGCAGGCACTCAGACACACAAGTTTATGTACAAATGTACGGAGCCACATGCAACACACACTACTCTCACACTCAAGAGGTGGATCTGTAATTATGCAAAGGAGATCAAGTCAGGCCTACTCACCCAGCTTTAGCAATCAGATTTATTTATGCATTTATTTTCAAACTGTTTGTAAGGAACATGGCAATTAAAGGAAAAGAATGGCTCAAGTGTCATGTCACGGTCTTTGCTGAATCACCTGGGTCTATCTTTGCTCAAGTGCCGTTTTAATCAGACACATTCTGATTGGGAATAGAGAGAGTGTTAAACAGTAGTCTTACATTAAAACCAATCGTTAAAAAACGTTTTAATTATTTTATTTTATTTAGTATTTGTATTTAAAGTGTGATTCTAGTAGAAATATATTTTCATGTTCTGTGTGATTTCTATAGGTTGGAACACAACTGCCAGGGTTGGGGTGTGGGGATGAGGCGAGGACTCAGTTTGCAGGAAGAATAGGGCTCTTAATTAATGATAAAATAAAACAAAAACTACCCCATAGGGGAAAACAGACTGGCAACTTGACAGGCAGGGCAAGACAGGATAATGACACAACCAGGGAACATACGACAACAAACTACCACATGCTAAATGCTTGCTAAAGACATAACAGATTGTAATTTTGGTGCAAAAAATGTTAAACATCTGTTAAAATCATTTGTAGATTTTCAATAAGTGCTTTATCACATGGAATTGAAAGTTTAATGACATTTGTAAGTATTTTAACTTTCATGAAATAATGATTTGTTTGAACATTATCTAATGTTTAATAAGTTTATTAACAAACATTAACAAGCACATTATCTCACGTATCTAACTCTTTGAATATATATATTAACAAATGATCCATTAAGCATTACATAATGGTTGTTAATGATTTATTAATGAAAGTTATTAGAAAGTGTTACCTTATTTACATTTTTGTGGGTGTCAGTACATTGATATTGTACATTTCAGTCTCTATACAAATGAACAAAAATATGTACATTATACATTACACATAAAATACCTATGAATACAAATGACATCACCCTTACAATTGACTTTTAAATAAGCAGTATGTTGTATAGCTAACACAAACCGAATTGCTCAGTTTTCATGTCAACTAATTATTAAATTTTTCAGCCTGGCCAGGTGTATTCAGTGAATCATTAGACAGCATGAAAAATATAATTGCAATGACTTGAGTGTGCAATTTTCAGTTTATCAGATCATGAAGGATACACATATAACTCTTCACTCTCCTCCACTGACAGGAAGACGAGCGCATATGAGTCTTGAGTTTCCAAACCATGCACCTTACAACCTTGGGATACACACAAATAATTTCAGAAATGTCAGTTCAACTGAGGTGTGTAAATAAAGACTACTCTGTGACACGTCATTTGAATGCTGAGCAGATGACCTCTGCATTTATGAAGGTCTTGGAGAGAAACATGAAAATGCTCAATGTTTCTCAGCAGAGAATCAAACTCAACCCCCTCCCTCAAACACAAGTGCATTTACAAGCTGAATAACAAAATAATGGGCCTTTTTCATGCCTTCAGAACAATGCATTTCAGTTTCATTATAGAGCTTTAATTAAGATCATTACATAACTGCCCAAACATTACAAAAGGCAAACACAAAAAGTCATGTTATGATTGTCTGGACTTTAATGCAGATTCGACAGCCTGTTGACTGTAAAATATTTGATGCTAATGACTTTTGTTATTCTGTTCTTCCAGACTGGAGACAGCAGTTAGCCTAGCACCCAAAGACGATGAGGAGAAAGCGAAAACGAAAGATGCAGTTGCAAAAACCCATAAGAAAAATGGACACATAAAACGCAGAGGAAGTAAACGCCACAGTCACCGGCAAGTTCAGAGGTCTGTATCTTCTAAAGCTGTGCCTTATACACACATCTTCATCAAAGATGTTTTGGTGTTTAGGAGTAACGTCTCGGGTTACGCATCTAAATATGGTTCCCCGAGAGGGAACGAGACGCTGTGTCCTCTAGCGGACACTATGAGGACTGCTGCCAGCAGGACGGGTGTATATGGGAAGTATAAGAGGGCGCCTGCCGAACAGTCTCATAAGAGGACTGAAGGAGACGTGAAAACAGGCAACCTCTAGGCATGGTGAGAGGACTCAGCATCTCGTTTCCTCTCGGAGAACCATGGTTATATGTGTAACCCGAGACGTTCCCCTTCTAAGGAACTCATGCTGCGTCCTCTAGCAGACACAATGGGGAACGGAATGCCCACTCAGTCATGCCACAGCGCATGCCTGTTCACCTGGTGAGAGGTGCCACTGACGCCTGGGGCCACTCACATAACTCGGGAAAAATGGGGAACCCAGGCAATCAGGAGGGACACTCCATTAACCATGCTAAGAACACAGCTATCTTCAGAAGGCTATGTTAAAATGAGCCAAAGCAGTATGCAGGGCCCAGGGGGACCGCCCACTTAAAAACCCTGTAGGAAGGGGGGGCATCCCACCCCTACAACCTGTCTAAGCTTAAGGATTAAAGGGGGGTGGGCATTCTACTTAAAACCCTAACAAGAGAGACGGCTAGAAAAGGGCTCGGGGCTGCCTACTTGAAAAAGCCTGATAAGGGGGGCAGCCCGACCACTGAGAGTATTTAAAAAAAAGGGAGAGACCAGACCTTCAGTCAATGGTTCGCCAGCAAGCAAAACACATAAGAACATAATAAGTCCAGCCTCAGAGCCCGATGTAAACAGTGGTCTAAAAACACTCTGGGGGAAGCATCAAGAAGTGTTAGAATCACAGCACGGTTTAGAATAGGAATGCTTCTCATCCAACACCTTCCTGAGATCCGCTCTTTTCCTCTTAGCGCTCACTCGACTCCAAGAGCGAGGAGGGGTGCGAGTGGCCATGCTACTCATCTGATCCTGCCTATGCTCCTCAGATCGAGACGGACCAGCTCTCTCAGAGGTTTTAGAGGAAGATTTGGGACACAGGGAATGAACTTCCTTAAGGCAGTGGACTGCACCCTCGCCTCCCTGAACTTCTCAACCACCATCTCAATGGAAGTGCCAAAAAGCCCGGAAGGCGAAAGCGGAGCATCAAGAAGAAAGGCTTTCTCCTTCCTCCCAATGTCCACAAGATTTAACTACAAATACTTCTCCGTAGCCACCATTGCTGCCATCACATGCCCAATGGCAGCAGCAGTCTGTTTAGTGGTGCAAAGAACCACGTCTGTGGTGTGGCGCAGTTCCTCGACTGCCTCAGGGGACAAACCCTTGCCCTCATCTAGATCTCTAAGAAAGTCCGCTTGGTAAACTTGAAACACAGCCATAGTGTGCAAGGCTCCACCAGTTTGACCTGCCACCACATATGCCCTGCCATTCAGACGTGAGGTGGTCTGAAACGGTCTGGATGCCAGAGCAGGAGTCTTTAAAGAAGACTACTCACCCTAGGAGAGATAGTTCCTCTACAGTACAGGGGGCATCTCCGCATATCCGTGCTCAGCCAGAACCTCAACATTAGTATAATCCGCATGCTGAAAAAGATGCAGCCGAGCCGACTATGGCCTGTCCCACTATCTCACTCACTCCATGTGGAGGTTTCGAAGAAAGGTGAGAAAGCGCTCGTCCAAACGGCCACGGGCGGGCTTCTGCTTTTCGCGTGACCAGACTAAATAAAAAAAAATCTTTTGAAAGGTCCATATTCTCAAATTTTTCTGGAAGCTCGACCTGCGAAACCCACGATCTGAGTCTACACTGTGCCTCAGCAGCAGAGGGACCCGAACGCAGAAGCTTGTCCCTCATCCCAAGAGAGGAGGGACAAACACGAATTTAGCTTTTTCATTGAGAATTTCTCACAATGAGCACATTCAGAGCCCTCGAGCACCGAACGCGCGTGCTCCCCACCAAGACACATAACGCATAGATCGTGTGTGTCCTTTGGTGTCAGAAACCTTGGACATGGAGGCACACACTTTCTAAAATGCTCACTTGCCTTGGTTTTCTCCATAACGCCTTTGCACGCACTGCCAAACAAACGGCTCCTGAATACAACAAAAGTTGGTTACATGTTCGGCAGGCACCCTCTTATACTTCTGGGCGCCCGCCTGTGACATCACGGGCTACGTGGGCCAGTGGGACTTGAGTTGTTTCACACGTGCTTCAGACACTGGTCCTGCTGTCGGCAGTCCCCATAGTGTCCACTAGAGGAAGCAGCGCGAGTTCCCGGGAAGGGGAAACACTTCAATATAAAGTATGTTTTTGCTGTTCTTGAAAAGAAACTATTTGTAGCGTCTCTGAAGGTAAAATAGCTGTTTTCTATGGAATAAAATCGCTGTCAAAAATAATCGTACGTAATTCAAAGCATTTGTGTGTCATTTTAATTTACTCGTGCGTAATTTAAAAGTATTGTATGTAATTCTGTTTTTTGTCAATTACACTGTAAATACATTTACAGCAAGTTAAATTACTTTTTTTTAAAGAGTATTTTTGCTACAAAATAAAATTACAGTAAGTTACGAGCGAACTGCTGCCAGTTAGTTACTGTAATTTCTACAGGAAGTTTTTTTTTACAGTGTAGATATGAATTACAGTTTATTTTAATAAATATCAAAAATCTAAAAGGTGTGCATTATAACTGAGAACTACATGAACACTTCACAGTTGGTTGTGTTACTGTAAGTAATTTTCCTCAAATGCTATTGAAGTTCGAAAAGTGTATACCAATGTCGTATGTAACTTTAGAGATGGTCCCTAGATTTGCGAATATCAAATGCCGGGAAATGACACCTCTGGCCATTCCGTTGGGTCGTTTGTAAAGTCACAGATACTGTACGGACAATACGGCTCAGTTTTTTGTATGTATCTTGCTCTGTTGAACGGCAACTGACTTTACTAGGCTATACTGGATTTACACCATGCATCTCCTGTCAGCGGGAAAGCCGCGCCCCCAGCTATCACAAGACCCGACCAAGTCCATGGTTGACTCCCTCTCATTAGCATGTTGTGCAGAGGAGAAATAAATGCGGAACTACATTCAGAAATAAATGAGTGATTAAAAGAAAACAGTTAGGATGAGTTTAGCATTTCCTTAAACATTTTCCATTTGGTCACCAATTTATTTTATTTATTTGACTACTTTCATCACACATTTAATTATTTATATATGTATTTAAACAAGATTACGTGTATTTATACACACATTTATTTATTTATTTGCATATTTATTTATTTATTTATACACACATTTATTTGTGTATTTATTTGTTTTTAATTTCTGCAGGTTTGGGCCTCCATACCTAAACAGCTGTATTCTAATTCTTTAAACACCTAAATGTACACTAAGAGCTAATCTTACCTACTATAGTTAAACTATCTCTGTAATATTACTCCTCTCTGTCATTAGTGATAACTAACCCTTAAACATGTCCGAATTTGAAAAAGAAAAAAAATCACTTACCTGAGACGATGAGTGAGCGCTTGGTTGCTGATCCGCCATTTTGGCGGCAGTGGTTTAAAACGGTGGGGGGGCGCAAACGCACTTTGTGGAATCGATTCATCTTCCCTCGGATAGTAATGCCTGTGACAATGATGACGTATTTTTGACAGTCCTTTCGCACACCGCACTTCGTGGTCGCAATTCGCATGTCGTGCGTGTAACAGCTGTTGTGAAAACAAGCGTTGTGTCTGTAAACTGTCATAGTCGTACATTTTGGAGTTGTACTCTAACAAACACACAAAATCTTGTATCTGTAAACTGTCGTGACTGTAGATATTGGAATCCAACTCAGAATTACATTCAATACTTTTAAATTACGCACGAGTAAATTAAAATGACACACAAATGCTTTGAATTACGTACGATTATTTTTGACAGCGATTTTATTCCATAGTTTTCTACCACCTTTGAAGTGCTTGAAAACAGCATGTGCTGTTGAAAATGTACAATTCAATCACAGTAACTTTGTATAGATAAATCTATTCAAATGTGAATTTTATTTTTATTTTTGACCCAAGAGAAGATCAAACACATGAAAATATGAAGCACCGAATCCACTTCTAAACCATATCCTCACTCTATAAGCATGAATTAGAAACCCCAAACTTTAAAGCAAGGCAGGCACAAACACTCTTATCTCCTTGCCACAGTGTAAACATTCAGGTGTTGCTGGAATTTTTAACACGGGTGTCTTTTATGGGGTCCTCTTCCTTCCCATCCACCAAAATTCAGACTCCACCTGGTGAAAGAAATTGATTCAGCATTGGATTCTTAACAGAACACCATAATTCCACTGATACCTTCAAAGTGTTCGTGATAACGCAGGGCACAAGCAGTGCATCAGTATGTAAGACAGGGAATACGCCAGCTCAAGTTTTATCTTAAACATGTTAATCTCTAGGTGAGTTCATGCTCGGTTTTCTGCCAGAGAAGAGCAGATGCAAAGACATTTTTTTGGTTGAGATGTTATAATCAAGCATACAAGAGCAGCTAAACAATGCAAGATCAAAGAATGATTAAGTCAGATCAAGCTAAACCTCTGAAATGCATAAACGGCTTTCCTTCGTCACAACGTCTGAAGAATCCTAAATCATGTACATATACAGTTGTTTTAACATGCTTTCTTATCCAAATAAAATAAACATCTCAAATGTGGAAAGTCTTATTGTATAGTGTCAATATCAGTCTCAAGCCCTCTGTCTTTCTGGGAAGACCCTTCTGTTTAAAGTCTTTTATTAGTCCTGACAGTGCTTTCACAATGCAGGTTTGTCATCCTTTGGAGTGTGTCAGTAGTCAAAAGCTCTCTGTGTAATATTTTGCTTGCACACTTTTCCTTTCATAACTTTCACAATAAGCTTAAGCCTCTGTATTTTGATTTTGAGAATCATGGTGCAGTTTTTTTTCCAAAGCAGAAAGGTAAGTACATCAGTGCTGGCAATGTAAACAGCACTGAAGCCCTCAGTGAAATGTCAGTAATCAATGTTGACAGCCTTTTAACTCTCTAACCTTGTCTATTCTCCTGAGTGTGTCAGTGTTCGGTCTAACTCACAAGACAACCCTCGCAATGCTGTTCCTTCTGACAGCTGAAGTGATGGTAGCCATTAGGGGTGTGTTTGCTACCTGTGTGCCTTCAAGGTAGGGCTGCACGATAAATCTTATGCGATATTTAATGCGCATCTTGTCAGAAAGCCGGTTCTGTAATCAGCGGTAAATCTCCATCACGTGCGTGCTTTCACATTGAGCAGAATTAACTACACAGAGCCGTTGTTCACTGAGGAGCTGCGCAAAACCACGTTCATATTCGCGCGATTTTTTGCGCAGCTCCTCAGTGAACAACGGCTCTGTGTAGTTGATTTATCGTGCAGCCCTACTTCAAGGTCAACTGAAACTGACAGAAAGACTTTAAAACCTGTAGAGCAAACCCACAAGCTAAATAAAAGACATAACTGGACACATCTTTGTGAAATTCACATTGGTCAGTGGATTAGATAGTGTTGCAGCAAAAGTTCAGTTTTACATCTAACTGGTTGATTTCAGAGCTGATTGGAACCAGGAATATCATGATATCAGATTTTCACTACAGAATTATAATGGCCAAAAGAATGTACAATAACAATATTATCCCAATATCTATAAAATGCTAAATCAATTCAAATGCTAAATCAGTCAAATTTATCTTTAACTTAGTTTTGTGTTTTCTCTTTTTTGGCCAATGAATCACATTCACAGTAACTTTTTCAGGTGTGGGTAGGGTGTCTCGCTTTCGTCTTGTCATCTCCAACAACATGATTTTGTGCAGCAGTAGTAACTACACACTGCCTCGACTTTTTTTTTTTTTTTTTTTTCACAGGCGGCAACCAGCTTTGAGGTGCCGTTCCACCACCTACTATGCTGGATGTCAAACAGATAGTTATTGATGCTGGATTATTTACAATATTATCATATATATAGTATTTACACAATATCAATATTAATTTTTTTTTTAATATCACTGTTATTATCAATAAACTGACAGCAGTCCTTAGGAGGGCATTTTTGTCCGTAACTGGTGACATTTTTAAGGATAGTTTATTTAATCTTTTTTTTTTAAACAAACTCAACTTGGACAATTATCAAACTATATAAGTTTTTGTATCGTGAATTTTAATTATCATCAAAGCTCCAGAAGTGTATAGCACGCTGTATTCATTGAAAGGTTAATGTGTACACCAGAACTGCACACCAGTGGTGAAAACATATATACGGTTATGTTCATGAAGTTTCCCATGCACTTATATATAGAATCTTTTTGATATGTGAATGAAACAAACATTGTTACAAAAATTAGCTCTATCATGGTTAATTATAGTTTTAAATCTAAAACCAAAATTCTTTTATTTGAAATCAAGTAAATGTTAACTGAAATAAAATAAAAAAAACATATATATAACTGAATATATGCTATATAACTAAAAATAAAAACTGAACAAATAAAACTGATTTAAAATATAAAAAAATAATAATAGTATTTCAAAGATACTAAAATAACACTAATCCACTGTGATTCTTGTTATGTAGAATAAGTGACTTTTCTGTATTTTGTTTAAAGCTGCACCAACCAAATCTCATTTACTCTGCCAGAAAAAGGGCAGGACCTAGATTAACTGTACAAATCCTGGACTATTGTAGTGTTTACGTGTGTTTGTGTGTGTGTGTGTGTGTGTGTGTGTGCATGTGCGCCTTTGTGTCGAGGGTGTAATGTGAAACAAAGTTTCCTAATTAAGCAGAAATGGCACTTGCTTTTCTGCTAATCAGCTTCTAATGCGTTTCAGGCTTGCTAATGCAGCAATGGCTGGATGAACTGCCGTCCTATATCAGACCTAACAGCCTTTTCCACCCTCAGAGTAAGCAGCCCGCTCCACTGCAAGCACATCCGCACAGTCTGCCTGACTCTCCGTCTGTGTTTTGATCCATCTAAATGGTTTCCTCTCAGTGCTCATATTGAATCACTGACTGGCTGGGCAAAGCCAAAGCTACAACAGTCTGTAATTCATCGACTGTCATGGACAGCACTCCCCTGTGTCTATGAAATATTATTATCCTGCTGTAGCGATGTGCCGCAAGAAGGAAATCTCATGGCCGCTGCCACCGTGCCTTTAACCTGCACCAGTTATGTGTATTTGTCATGGATATCCTGTATACCTTCTCCCATGCTTTAGGCTATATTTTCATTGCTGGCTGTCAGATGCATGTCATTCTTACAGTCTGTGATGTTTTGATGTGTATGTGTACAATATAAAGAGCTATTTAGTGCTTCCCTTCGCCGCTTCCCTACGATTTGAATCAGGAATATTGGTGGTTTGGGTAAAGCGTTTCATGCCCACTTTTGATAGAATCTTCTCTGTCGTCTTGATGGAACGAGAGTGGTGCGTCTTTGCTGCAATCAAAATAATAACAGTAGCGCACCATGCTTTAGTAAACATTGAAAATGTGTGATATAAATGTCTGTTGTCTGTGTATAGTCTCCCTGTTGATGATTGCACTTGAATTGCTTGCCTGAGGAATCAAGACTCTCAGTAGTAGATGCAGTGTGGACTTCCTTGCACTCCCCTAGATGTTATTACCTTTAAAAGACGATTTTGAGATGACACCTCAGTGCTTTTGAAACAGCACACATGTCCCGCTCAGTCAGGACATGCCGTCCATTCTCTGATCTTCTGCTTTGTTGATGCAGAAGTGTTGCTACTAAAAGTAAATTGATTTTAAAAGCTGCCTGTCATCTACCTGTCTGAGCATGCAGCTTTCTATTTCTCTCTCCTTATTGCTGTCTTTTAAATCTCCTTCCTCTTTAACCTCTGTTTTTTCAAATGCCTTTTTGTTCTTAAGTATTTAGATGCTTTAGGTGAAAGCCAAGGTTCATTGGAAAAATGTGCCTCTACCTACATTTTTAAACTCCAAAAACATATATTCCTATACATTTAATTCAATGTAGTTTCCAGCTGAAATGAACACTAGTGGCAATAAAACGCTAATTATTGATTATTAAAGAAGTAATTCCTTGCACGATACTATGTTTTGACCAAAGAACACTCTTACCATAGTGCATGATTTGTAAACGAATACATTTTGAGGTTTGCATCACATAACCAGCTCCATATGTATGGCTTTCTAACATAGTAAACATGCTTGGTCACTCACCTGGTACAGGGTTGCACTCGAGTATGAGTCCTGTGAAACACAAATCATGTTAAAAGAGCTCATAGATTTATAGAAACAAGCTAAAATGGAATGGTTGCTTCAGCAAATGCATTTTTATCTCACGTTTGCTTTGGTTAACATTGGTATCGCTTAGGTTTAGGGTATGATTTAGTTTATGTAGTACATTATTTTCAAACATTATAGAACACTAACCTTTTATTCGGATGTTACATTTCTGAACAGCCACAAAACAACCAACATAATAAAATATTGCTAGATTCACTTTCATCGGTTTCAGATTAAACTGAAAGCACTTTTAGCACCACTCACTGGACATTTCACTTTGAATGTGTTTCGAGAAGTGTGCAAGAAGCAATGTAATGTCATTTTGCTGAAATGCCTCCACAGGCATGTTTTTTTCAATAAGCTTGTGTTGCTAATGTAGAACGGTGAAAATGATTCAGCAGCACATCCAAGAATATTAGTTCTCTGTCTCTAGAAATAATTTTATGTACAGCTGTCCACTTCTTCCATTGCAGAAACTTTCTGTAATTTTTACTGTTAGAAATCAATCAGTGTTTGATTAACTCAACCCTGACCTTTGCTTACAGTGAATGACTGGTCATTCATCAAGCTTTTACTATTGACTAATTGTCATTGTATGACCTATAAAATGAAAATAACAGAAACAGATTCAGAAAAATGTGTTCCCTTTCAGTCAGTCACGTTATTGCTAGATTCACTTTCATCGGTTTCAGATTAAACTGAAAGCACTTTTAGCACCACTCACTGGACATTTCACTTTGAATGTGTTTCGAGAAGTGTGCAAGAAGCAATGTAATGTCATTTTGCTGAAATGCCTCCACAGGCATGTTTTTTTCAATAAGCTTGTGTTGCTAATGTAGAACGGTGAAAATGATTCAGCAGCACATCCAAGAATATTAGTTCTCTGTCTCTAGAAATAATTTTATGTACAGCTGTCCACTTCTTCCATTGCAGAAACTTTCTGTAATTTTTACTGTTAGAAATCAATCAGTGTTTGATTAACTCAACCCTGACCTTTGCTTACAGTGAATGACTGGTCATTCATCAAGCTTTTACTATTGACTAATTGTCAGTGTATGACCTATAAAATGAAAATAACAGAAACAGATTCAGAAAAATGTGTTCTCTTTTGTGTTAGCTTTTCCAGTGTCTCTTTTGATGCTGATCTGTCCCCTCGTCCGGTCCCTAAAGCAAAGAAAAAGAAGAAGAAGTCACAGAGGAAGAAGAGGAGACACAGGTCAGCCCACAAAACAAATGATCACATGTGACAACAATAATCTTTTATTCTGAGCATTCAACAAAACTGAAAATATCATGCAGTTCAGATAGATAGAACGATTTCATGCTGTATTTAATCAATATCCAACAACAGCTTTTAATTTTCACAAGCACATTAGTGAACAATAAACAGTGTGTTTGTGTCATAGAGTATCCAAGCACATGATGAATGTAATGACAATAGCCATTGAACAGAACAACTGTTCTCAGCTTGTTTCGCTTGAAGGGAAGGCTTTTACATTTAAATTTTAGACACTCGGGGGGCGGGTTGGGGTTCTGTGCCAACAGATTGTCACTCACGGAATCTCATTCAGTTTAAAAGCCTCTCCAATCTGCAAAACAAACTGTATGTCTTCAATGCATGTCTACAATTTTTTATTATATACCTCCTTATCATACACTACTGTTCAGAAGGTTAGGGTCAGTAATATTTTTTTATCTTTTTGAAAGAAGTCTTTTATGCTCACCAAGCAGTATTTATTTGATCAAAAATACAGTAAAAACAGTATTATTGTGAAATGTTATTACAATTTGAAATAACTGGTTTATATTTTAATGCATTTTAAATGTAATTTATATTCCTGTGGTGGCAAAGCTGAAATTTGAGCAGCCATTACTCCAGTCTTTACCCACATGATCCTTCAAAAATTATTCTAATATGTTGAATTGCTCAAGAAATATTATTTTTATCAATGTTGAAAACATCTCTAGGTTACATATGTGACCATGGTTCCCCGAGGGAACGCCTCTGCATGTCGACGCTCTGAAGCAGTTGTGAAATCAGT